TTAAATTTAAATACATATTTAAATAAATAACCATCTGTAAAACCAAGAACATTTATTTTATTATTTTATATTTATTAATTGTTTAAACTATTTGTTTACATTTTTTAAATCTATCTTGTTTAAAATATATATATATTTTTTAAATGTATTATTAAAAATAAAAAGTGTATTTAATTTTTACAAATATTTGTTTAAATATTTTAAATATTTAAATAAATAACTATGTAAAAGTGAGACATTTTCTTAAAATATTTATGTAAATATTTATTTACATTTTTTTAAATATTTAAATGTAAAAGATTTTTTTTTAAATATTTATAAAATAAATATTTAAATAAATAACCATCTATAAAAGCAAGAATATGTTTAAATAATTAAAATACTTATTTTAATGTTTTAATTATATTTATATATATATTTTTTGGTAATTCGATTATGTGCTCAATAAATTAAGAATTGTTTTCTTTTCAAATTCAGAGCTTTAGTTGGAATTTAATTGCGGTACCGACAAGGATGTAGAATTTTTATTCGAATAAATTATAAAATGGAATTAAATTCAAATGAATTCATATAACTGCTTTAAGTTTACATATAGCCTAATTTCCGACCCATAAACATGTTGCATCATGCACAAAATAGAGAGTATTTATGGAAGGATAAAAAAAATGTATATCAGTTTTTATTAAAATGCTTCCTATAGATATTTGCATTAAGATTGTATTTAATTAATTGCAATTCAGAAAAACATCTATATTATTCAGAATTAATCTGGTATACTGTCTTTCAAAAGTTTGGGATCAGTAAAGTTTGTATAAGAAATTAATACTTTTATTCATCAAGAACGCATTAAATTGCTCAAAAGTGCCAGTAAAGACATTTATAATGTTACAAAATATTTCTATCTCAAATAAATGCTGCTCTTCTGAGCTTTCTATTCATCTGTGAATCCTGAAAAATAAAATGCATCACAGTTTCCACAAAAATATTAAACCGCACAACTGATTTCAACATTGATAATAATCAGAAATGTTTCTTGAATCATTAGAATGATTTCTGAAAATCATGTGACACTGAAGACTGGAGTAATGATGCTGGAAATACAGCTGCGCATCACAGAAATAAATTACAGTTTAACAGATATTCACATAGACAACAGCTGTTTTAGATTCTAATAATATTTCACTTTTTTTCAGTTTTTACTGTATTTTTACTCAAATAAATGCAGCATCGGTGAGCAGAAGAGACTTCTTTCAAAAACATGACAAAATCTTGCCGACTCCAAACACTAGTGTATATTTATGTTTAGTTGGAGTAATGAAATGTTGTCTAACTTTGGGACACTTGGAGAAAAGTGAACTACTTCAGCTTCTCGGGCTGCCGTTGATTCACATATCCCAGAATGCCGTGGGGTGAAAGGCTCTAATTAAGCGTTTGAATTGTATTTTCAGCTCTCCTTTGACCTCTCCAAACACACACTGAGCAAAGTGCCCGTGTGCTGGCCAGCGTTTCTCATCCTGGCATAATAACATACAGCCGCTGCATTGTTTCGTGTGAAAGTGTGAGCGCCAGCATGTAATCCACAAACACAAACCCAGCTTTATTCAGCGCTGCCTTTTCATGTGTGTGCGCTTTCCTGCAGACACTCCCTGAATGAGTAGATTTTACATGCACTTTTTAAAGGAACACTCCACTATTTTTGAAAATAGGCTAATTTTCCAACTCCCCTAGAGTTAAACAGTTGAGTT